GTATGACAAACTGTGGGATTTTGAACTGTTTTAAGTGCAGTTTTAATGTACTTCATCTATACGATCGTCACGATCGTCCAGGATGAAATATTTTTCAAACGACGGGACTAATGAATGGAATAGTTGAATGGATAAGATAATTTTTAATATGAACTTCGTCTGTACGAACCTTTGGTTCGTCTGGACGAACACATGTCGGTTCGATGTAGGGGACGGTTTCAACTGTCATTAAAATGATATAAGTTCTGATCGTCCCGAGACGAACAGGTGTTCGTCTGTACGATCAGATTGGTCAAAAGTCTGTACGAAAGGATGCTTCGTAAGTTGCATTGATTGTGAAAAGCTGTTTCATTCTGGTCGTATTAAATCGTTTGTACGAAATATTTTTGTACAGGATGATCAAAAATTCGTACGGGACGAATTATTTTTGTCTGGTATGAACGAATCGTTTTTTAATATATAGGCGATCTTTTCAACTCAATTGTCACTCTCTAAACATCACTTTCAACTCCTTTCTTACTCTAGATCACTTTTCAAATGGCCAGTTCAAGCAAGCGTCAAAAGGTCTTAGTCAAGAAGCCTCATAGGAATTCGTCCGAAAACTTTCTGTCCAAAGCAAATGAGGATTCTTTTCCTAGATTTGCTTCTGCCAAAATCACTCATTTCCGAATTTTAATTCAAGAAGATATTACCTTTAAGGTAATGCATTTATTTGCTTCGACTCAGTTTCAATTTATCCTTACTCTGGTTCACCTCTATAACAAAGAAACCTTCCACTATTTTCTAGCCAATATGTCATTCAATTCTGACCACTATGTGATTCACTCCTTTGTTTTCAAACAAAAAGTTGAAATCACTAAACACGACTTAGGAGATTTTCTATATTTAAAGACTGAGGGGAGTAAAGCTCATACCTTAATCACCAATGATACATATAAATGGTATGAAATCAATAGGGTGATTAGAGGAAATGATTTAACTGAGCATGTGGCTAAGGTATCTGGTCTTGTCCGTAATGCACGCATCATCCAGCATGTTCTTATAACTTTTAAAGCTGGTGATAGAGTCAATATTACCCTACTTCTTTCCATGGTGACCTTCTTAATCATGAGCGATAAACCTATAGATGAAACCCAACTTATTCTTGACTACCTTTGTGGGCTTTCTGAAATTTGCCATGCATAATAGAAAAGAAAAAGGAATATTTACTTTAGGACACTTAATTTCCTATGTTCTGCAAAAGAATTATAACTTGGTTCATCCTGATCAAGAGTATGAAGAATCGCTCTATTACAATGACGGATCATTTAGAGCGATCTTCAAGGAGGAATCAGGAAAAGCACATGTCATCAGTGATACAGAAGAAGAGCCTGAAGGTGCACATGCTCCTGCAAATGAATCAAATTATCAGAATTTGGTTCAAAGATTTGATCAGTTAGAGACTCATTTAATCATCGCCTTGATCAAATTGAAACTCATTTACAGCAGCAGGCTACTCAATATCAACATGACATAGGCTATATGAGGGAGCAAATGAATGATATTAGTACTAATGTACTTATGATGAGTATATATTTTAACCTCTTTGCTGGTGCTCCTCCTTCTCCTCCAGATCAGGGACCGTCCGAGTGATTGTTGCACTTTATGTTTTGTGTTTGTGTTGTTATGGTTTATGTGTTAGTTACTGATTTGTAGTTTGATGTATTTCTTCTTTATTTTAGCTATTGTATTGATATCTTGAATGAATCATTGTAATCTTTAAAATGATATCAATATAAGTTCTTGTGTTTTGATTTGAATTTACTTTTGAAATATTTGTTAGACTTTATGTAATTCATCAGATTTTTAATCTTAATCGTGTTTTAACCTAAATTGCAAGAAAAATTAAATTCATTAGAAAATCTAGTTATTCTAAGTTTAAGTTATGTTTATAACTTGATATTATTAGATTTATTAATTTCATGTCTCTTCTTTAGACTGTATTATTGTTAATATTATTATTGCAACTGCGATGTTTTCTTATTTTATATTTCACTTATCAATCATTACTTATGCACTTAAAGAGATTTGAAATTTTATATTATTATTTTTGGAAAGAATAAAATTACACTTGCAAATTGTGTAAAAGTACAATAAAAAAAATTAAAAAGAATGCACAAAGGTCCGCAAAGTGAAAAAGAGGCACAAAAAAAGCCCAAAATAAAAATGATGCATAAAAGTGTGCCACAACTATGAAAAAGATGCGCAAAACGTCACATGTGGTAGTTATTTCTTTCCAAACTCTTTTAATCTCTTAATTCAAATTGATCTTATGTTCATTTATAATTGATATTGAAATTTGAAATATACAATTTTTCATTCATCCTTATTGCAATAATATTCTCTATCTTAGTGTCTAAACTGACTCATGTATTTGATAAATTCTTTTTATTATCTATGTTATATCACTTCTTAAATTATATGAATTTCTAATATTTGTCTAGTGTTTTAATTTTATTTGCATAACTTATTTCAATCACTGATAAGATTACATTATCAAATGATTTTCATATCTCTGCTTTCATTTCAAGTTGTTTTTCCTCACTTTTTGCTGTTATCAAAAAGAGGGAGAAATTATTTGTTGAATTGTGTCTTGTGAGTCTTGTATCTTGTGTTAGTATTTGTGTTTATTTTTATTTTTTGTGTCTTGTGAGTCTTGTATCTTGTGTCAGTATTTGTGTTTATTTTATTTTTGTGATTATGTTGTTGTTTTGCTTTGTATAATTTTTTTTTTTAAAAATAAAAATAATTTTTGAATCAAGCCTCCTTATTTTCATGCATTCATCAATTCAGGGGGGGAGTTTAGGAAATTCTTAAAATTTTCATGCATTCATCAATTTCTTCTCTATATAAATTTCGTCTAGACGAAATCCAAATCATCCCCAGACGAATTCTTCTCTGTAAAAATTTCGTTCAGACGAAGTTCATTATCGTGCCAAAACGAGTTGCTCTCTATAAAAATTTCGTTCGGACGAAGTCCTGTTCATTCCAAGACGATGTGAACCAACTTACCCAAATTGGTTATGTTCATGCAGTTTTTTGGGAACTGGCCTATGGTACAACGGATCGTATCGGACGAACCTAATTAGTACGGGACGATGATCGTGTACGAACATTGTTCGTATTAATATTCATTAGGATCGTTTTCGACAATTTAAATAAAATCGTCCAGGACGATCCACGATTGTACATGACGATTCATTTCGTGTTGACTTGAAAAATTTACAGTTTTCGACGGTTTTTCTTGTCTCTCCTATATATAGTCCAATTTAGACTGCCACCCAATCTTTTAGCTCATTGATCTTCGTGCCTATTCAAATAAGAGTCAAGGAGAGAGTGTGAGAGAGCATTCAAAGGAGAATTCCTATCACTGGAGCGTGAAGGCTTCGCTTTGTATTCAAATGTAAGAATCTCTACTTGTGATTTGGGATTACTTCACTCTTTTTTTTCTTCCTTCTAGATTTCTTGTGAGGAGATCTGTCAAGGAGATCTGGTTCTCTGCCGACACTTGGAAAGTGTAAACATACGGAGGATTTTTTACCCATATTAGGAGAGTGTGAACAGCCGAAGGGTTCTCTGCCCACACTGGGGATAGTGTAAAAGGATGAAGGTTCTCTGCCAGCACTGGGGATAGTGTAACCCCTCTTAGATAGCCTTGGGACATAAGCTTAGGTTTAACAACCTAATTCATAGTGAACGAATCTCAACACATGTTTTTTTGTTTGCTTGGATCAAAATGATGAATGAATGTACGCAACTCATCTTGGTCAAGTTGAGAGCTTTGATTACTTATCAAAATGTTTTAAGTTCGAGTCTTATATATGTAATTTGTATGTTAGTTTGCCTTAGTTGACCTAAATGTCCTAAAAAAGTAATGAATGTAATGTAAAGTCTAAAAAATGGTGGAGGACAATGTTGGAGGTGACGATATAGATGGTGGTTGTGGTTGGTGGAGGCCAGCGATGGTGTCCGACGGTGGCGGTCGGTGCTGGTGGGCGATAGTGACGGCGGTGGAGATCGACTGCATGTGGTGGAGGTTGCAAGTGGTGGTAGCTAGTGGGTGAAAATGGTGACGATCAGCGGTGGTGTTGGCCAACGACGTGTGGTGGCGATCACCGACGATGATGGTGGTTGATGGTGGCCAGTGGTAGATGACAAACTATGGTGGTCGTTGGGGTTGGCAGGGACTGTCAGTGGTGGGTAGCAAGTGATGATGGCGGTGGACGGCGATCAAGAGGGCTTGCTTTTGGGTGAATATTTTCTCTTAAAAAAGAACTAAAATAGCTTACATTATTTTTACTTCACTTTGCTCATGTTTGTATTCCAACCAGACATGAAAAATTTTAAAATCTTTATATTTAAAATACTTTTCACCACATTGTATCTCAACTAAAGAGCCATTAAATGAAAAGTTTTTTTTTTTTTTTTGGAACGAGGAGTATCGGCCCGCTGCCAAGTCAGCTTGTGACGCGTTTGGTGATGTCCACTAATCTTCTCGGCTGACCTAGACGAGCAACTCACACCTATTACTACTCGTGGCCCGCGCTCATTGGGTCCCTCCTAGAGGGGCGTTGCCGCCCGAGGGAATCGAGCACGGGTTGAGGGTTCCCAACCGCACTCGGCCACCAACCAAGCTAAGCATCCATGGGTATTAAATGAAAAGTTAAACGAAGAGCAGAAGTTAATGATATAAATAAATTATAGTTTTACATGATTAATCTTGAATTGTTCGCGCCGTCCGTTCATTGATTTCTAAGCTCGAAATTTCTAATTCATGTTCGGTTAATTCGCACAATTTATCAATAAACATTAGCGTCAGTTACTTCAAAAACCATATTATAACGTGGCACTTTGTTATTTGTTTGTATCCTTAGTGTACGTTAAGCTATTTTGATGTGAGTGTACATGGAACTACGCCGAATCCCTTCTCGCTGTTTATTTCGCCGGCGGAGTCAAAGAAATCAGATAATTCACTCCCATTGCTCCCATTCCATTTCCTCTTCTCTAAGCTGCCCTCTCTCCCCTAACAGAAAAATGCCGATCCTCTTTATCGCCGTGCAGTGCGTGCAATGCTCCACAATGCAGGTTCTCTCTCTCTCTCTCTCTCTCTCTCTCTCTCTCTCGGCCATCCGCCTGTCATGTTTATTTCTGCCTATTGCTGGAATAGGTTAAGCAGCAGAAGAAGAGCAACAACAAGTGGGTGTGTGCAGTCTGCAACCAGAGGCAATCGGTGCTTAAGATCCACGCTCGTGGATTCCTAGCCCGCGACATACGCAAATTTGTTCAGGAGTTCAATCTCTCCAGGATAAAGCAGGAATCCGGTGATTGCGATTCTTTCTCACCTAAATCACCTAAATCGGACGGTTTCCTCACTGCATCGGAGATAGGCAGTGCCTTGTCCTTTGGCGTCGAACCAGCTTGTCTGCCGAAGCGGAGGACGGACTGGTCTGAGTATTTAGATCCCGTAGAAGATGATATTTACGTTGAGGAAGGAGAAGATCGCGATCCAGGTCTCTCTCTCACTCACTTATAAGCTGTGTGATTGCTCAAAACTAGGGTTAGAAAAAAAGTACTGATTTCCCGCTGATTAGTAGTATAATGAAAGCATATTCGTTTAAATAAGCGGTGAAAATTGAGAGGTGAAAATTATAAATAAGATGATCGTAAAGTAATTGAATATTCGTTTAAATAATTTGAAATTTATTTCTTGCCCCATTCGAGAAGAAAGTGAAGTGAAGAATTTAAATTAATAAAATTTTCATAATACCTTTTTTAATTATATATTATTTATTTATTTTTTAATAAAAAATTCATAATTCTTTTTTTTCTTTTCTATGTATTTTATTTATTTTTTTATTTTTAATAAACTTTTCATAATACTTTTTTTTTCATAATACTTTTTTTTTTAATTTTTTATTTTTATTTTCATAATACTTATTTTAGATTTAGGTTTAGATTTATAAAACAACGGAATCAAATTACCACAATCTTGGCTAACCTTTGTTCTTAAAGATAATTAATTTCCAATAATAGCTTAATATTTTGTTGTTCTTCTTCTTTATTAAAACATAAAAAACTGATCAAAGTTTAATTAAATTTTTATGCCAGTCCAATAGCGGCAGCCACTGCATCTACTCATGGAGCAGACACACCGTCATCTATTTTCCCAAACGTTTGATCACAACTACCTAAATTGTATCAGCCTACATGTGTAAACGTAAACTGTTGCTACAGTGTCTCATCATAGCTAAACTATGTATATATACTGAACACAGATTTGTAAACAGCAGTATTGCATACAATGAAAATTACTATAGTTGAAAAAAAAAGAGAGTTTCTTGGTTCTCTGTTCTTCAAACATCTGGCATCTACTTAGTTCCATCTAATATCCGTTTTCTTCATGGTAGCTGTATCCTCCCAACGACCACTTATGGATGAATCAGCTTCTTCCCAACCCGGCGATCAAACTTCCCAAATACCCACTAAGGAAACTTCAATCCCAACCTCCCTCATGTTTGTTATTTCTGTTGGAGTTGCCTCAAATTTGGCTCGACCCTTATATGTTTATGTCTTTGACCACTGTTCATTTATCATGTGTCGGTGGTTGTTTGCTCTGCATTTACCCCTTGCGGGGTTCGATCTGCCTGCTTAGGTTGCGGGGTCAAGGGGCAGCGCCTCTGCCGAGGTTTTCAGGGGCAGTGCTCTAGAACAAATTTTGATTGTAACGGTAATTTTGACATTTCGCTTATTTTTCGGTGCCATAATTTTTCCCTATAAGTATGATGTAAAGTGCTTAGGGTTTGTGCCGTCTTTTGAGGCCTTAACTTACAGGTCATAACCTTGCAACAACAATCTACTCTACTCTCATCACTGTTGTCCTACCATATATTCTTCACCTCGAGTCATGCCAGGACATCTAGTCTGCAATTGAACGTTGCTTTTAAGCTACCAACTCTTAAGGTATCTAGCTAATAAATGAGCTCCATAACATTTCTATGAAAACAATTCAATGATCGAATATTCAACTGCCATCAAAACCCTCATTGGCAATATTACATTTGTAGGATCCACAAGTGATCTAGAAGACATCATCCTCCACACTCTCAGTGGTCTACCTTCCTCTTATTAAACTTTCAAAACCTCAATCAGAACCAAACTAACACCAATCATTCTAGAAGATCTCTTCTCTCTATTCATTAGCAAAAAATCAACCTAACCACTGATGCCTCCAAATAACACCTACATGTTGTAGATCCCTATATGTCTTTGTACAACACATGCAGCAGAGCATTTCATGTCCACAATAGACACTCTTCTCAGCAAACTCATTGTGATACACCAAGCACTCACATAAATTGGTTTGTTTCTAATCCAGTCATTTTCCAAACTTGCAACAAACATGGTCACCAAGTCTCAAATTCCTAGTATCGCCTAAACATCCTCTTCAGTCCTTCACTTCAGCCATCCGCTCCAAGAGCTCTTCTAGCTAACTCCTCCAATCCTCAAACAGAATGGTTGTTAGACGCATGTGCCCTATAAAACCTCACCCGTCAACTGGATAGCCTTATTCAACCAACTATCGATCATGGTATGGATCAAATCACAATTGCAATGACAACTCCCTTCCCATTTCTCACACCCAACCGTTGATAAAGCTACTGATCCAGCCAACAAATATATTCATTGCAAGTCTCAAGCCTCAACTGCTCTAGACCTGCTCCACTCGCAGATTCCCCATTACAGCTGCAGAACATTTAATCATAGCCATTTACTTATAACAAACTATTTCTCCTTTCAACCGTTAGATGTATTAATGTTAAGCTTGTTGATATATTTATAGCAGTGGTATACTGCTACTGTTTTAGCAATGAAACATGAATATGTTTTTGACTCAAGGCTCTGCATTTCTTTATCTTCTTCCAATGCATGTATCCTGCTACTATTTTAACAATGAATACATGAATAAGTTTCGCCTCTCTCAACTACCCTAAATTCCATATTTTTCTCACAATCTGGCTTTTGTCTCCATTCTAACCTCTAACAACAATGCTCGATTTCATTTTATACTCTTGGCTTTTAAATCAAGGATTGCCAAGCAAATCTCTTACTCAAGGGACTCTGTTTTAATGGACTCTATCCCCTTTGAATATCCTTTCAGCAACATGGTCATTCTGCCTTTATAGCATCGGCGTTTTTGGACCTTCGCAGGCATCACCGCCTTGGTCAGCCTCATCCTCAAGTCATAAGTACATTCTCCAAATGCAATCGCCATCTTTTCATTCCTTCTAATACTCATGTTTACTTTTCTTATAAGGTTTTGAAGGTCACAAATTTGCATTTGTACAATCTACTAGTCAGAAATATTTTCCATTAGAACAATTCACTTTGATATTGAAGGCCCATCTCCAGTTACCTCTAATCAAGTATTACTACGTGGTCTTTACTCTTTACTGATGCCTTCTCGTGTTTTGTGTGGTTATTTTCTAAGCAAAAATAATTAGAAGTACCATCCCACTTCATTCAATTTAAAACACTCATTGAAAATCTGTTGCCCCACAAAATTAAATGCTTAGTTGCTTATAAACTAATGGCAGCACCAAATACTTAAATAAAGAACATCGAACCTTTCTCACCACTCATGGTATTCGACATCAAATAAGCTATACTTACACACTAGACCAAAACTGCCTTACTAAACACAAATGCAGGCATATCCTTGAAACATCTCGACCATTGCTCGTCACTGCCAACCTTCCCTATCATTTGTTACCCGACACTATTCAGGCTATTGTCTTCCTAATCAACTAAATGCCATCAATTGTTACAAACCATAAATCTCTCTATCAACTGCAGTTCAAACAACATCCACAATACCCACAACTTTGCACTTTTGGTTGTGCCTGCTTCTCTTTGCTCCCAGCTTTGTATCGGTACAAACTAGTACCTCACTCCACAAAATGTATTCATTGGTTATTCTGATTTTTACAAAGATTACAAGTTTCTTGATCCTCAAAATGGTCAAATCATTATATCTTGTCACATCAATTTTGACGTAGCTACCTTTCCCTTCCATCACTTGTCTTCTTTAACAAAGCCTACAGACTCACCTATAACCAATCCATATCTTCTTACTCCCACACCACCCATTCCTTCAACCATATTACCAACTCAACCATCTGAACCTACAAAACAGCAGACCTCCTCCACCTCTCTCCCAACCACCCCTTCCTCCCCTACATATCAGTCACCGCCTTGACTACACATCACTCCCAATGATTCCCAGCTGTCACCACCACCTATCTCACCTCACCCCATGATAACAAGACTTTAAAATTGATCCCTCAAACCTTACCCCCTACTCAATCTACTTCATAACAATTCTTCATCACATCATCCTACCTCCTTCAATGAAGCAAATAAATCCAAAGTGCTGGATGATGCTATGGCTGCAGAATTTCTTGCATTTCAGCAATAAGATACATGAACTCTTGCATCACCTCCTCCCAAGTACAATATTATTGGTTATCAGTGGACATACCGTACCAAACAAAATGCCGACGGCACTGTTGCTCAATACAATGCTCATTCTGTTATGCAAAGCCAACATCAAGAACCCGGCATCAATGATTGTGAAACATTTAGTTTGATGTAAAGATGCCATCTATTTGTATCTCACTCACCTTTGCCCTCGGTTAACACTGGCAAATTTATCAATTAGATGTCTCCAAGGCATTTCTCCATGAAGTAAGTGTACATGTGTCACCCCCAAGGATTTCAAGATTCCCAATATCCCACTACACGAAGCAATTAATGGTCTTAACAAGTTCTTTATCAATGGTTTCATACATTCTCTACTCATCTCTTTCTCCCTAGGCATCAAACAAAGCCAACCAGATCCTTCTCTTTTTATTCACGACACCAAAAATATTCTCATCTACAGTTTTCTCTATGTGGACGACATACTTCTTATTTGTAACTATGCCGACTCCTATACTATGATCAACAACCTTAGCCAGAAGTTCTCAATGAAGCATCTTGGCCAAACAACAAACTTCCTAGGCATTAACATCACCCAAACGCTCACTGGTCTCTTCTTATCACAATTTGCCTATGAACACACAATGCTCAACAAAGCAAGAATGACCTCCTGCAAGTCCATCGGCAGTCGAACTCCAACCAAAACCCTAATAATCTCATCTTCTGTCACATCGCCGTTCAGTCTATCTCTCAATCTTATTGGTTCTCTCAAATATCTAACAATCACTTGACCTGACGTATCATTTTCCATCAACCAACTTCGCCAACGAATGCATGATCCACTTCCTCTTCACTCTTGAATCTCAAACGACTTCTCTGCTACATCAAAATAACCTTAAATTTCGGCCTACCCATCAAACTTGGCCCTCTTATCCTTTAATCCTTCTCAGATTCAGATTGGACAAGTGATGCTACCACCCAACAATCCACTACTAGCTAATACTCTTACCTTGGACCAAACCTCATCCCTTGGAGTGTCAAAAAGCAACCAACAGTGTTCATATTCTCAACAAGACAGAATATCATGCATTGGCGGTAGCAACTATCGATATAATTTGTCAACGCCGTCTACTCTAGAGCTTCTATATACTAATATCCCAAGCAATAGATATCCATTGTGACAATACGTCAGCTGTAGCACTAGCAAACAATCCCATATTTCATCCTAGAACCAAACATATTGAGATTAACTATCATTTTTTTCTTTGAGCACATCAAGTCTCAAGAGATTAGCATCTTTCCTGTTTGACAAATATTCTCACTAAACCATTATTAACATGGTACTTTCATCTTCTTTCTGCCAAACTGACGGTTCAACAAGCCACCATCACCTTGCATGGGGGTAATAGTGACAGCCACTCTACTCATTGAGCAGATACACCCTCATCTATTCTCCCAACAGTTTGATCAAAACTACCTATGCTATGTATCACCATCATGTTTAAAACTAAATTGTTGCTACAGACTCTCATAGTAGCTAAACTGATCTGTATATATACTAAACACTCATTTAAACTGCAGTATTGCATACAGTGAAAATTGCTATAGCTGAAATGAGATTCTTGGTTCAATGTTCTTCAAGCCTCCAGCGTCTGCTTAGTTCCATCTATTATCCGTTTTCTTCAGTCAAACTAATCGAAATGCTTGAGCTGAGCTCAGATCTATATGGGATTGCTCTAGATAACTCACCATTTAGTTTCACTTGAGGCTTCATTTAAGACAGTTCCTTACAACTATTTTTTTGTTGTTTTCAAGTAATTTTTTGTGCTAGAAAATTGATGTAGAAAATAGCAAGTAAACCATCCCAAACGAAGTTTGAGATTGAAGCTTCTTTTGGGATGACTTTCTTATTGCTTCTTAAAACGATTTTTTAGTACAAATTTTTTAATTTGAAGTAGAAAAAAGGCTGTCGATTGGCTTTCCATATTGGTTTGGGTTGAATTAGAGATGCGTCCTTCACCACCCTAGTTAATTTTACCAATATTCTTCTTTTGGTATTTCTCCTATGCAAACTAGGAACCCAATTTCTTTCCATTGTCAGTACAGAGCTCCCTACAAAGGAGCAGTAAAACCTTACAAAATGTGGTCGACAACGAGAAAGAAAAAACCTGCCATCAAAGAATTTCCAAGATTCTGCAATGCCGATTACAAATGCATGTGGTGACTCTTTTCTCAAAAAAAAAAAAAAAAAAAAAAAAAAAGGCAAGTTAAGAAAATGTGTGGCTGAATAATAAATATATTTGTTGTAATTATGAAAATGGTTGCAGGAATCTTGCAGGATGGCAAAGATCAGTGTGTTGCTATTGGGAATAGATCGAAGAGTAGATGGAGCGAGTATCTGTACAAAGAAGAAGAGTGAGTATCTGTACAAAGAAGAAGAGTGTGACAAACCTTTTGAGGAAGCTTCAATCAGTCAGCCTCCTTTCAGGGATAGTAGCAGAGTGGAAGAAGAGGTGCACCAAGATTTCATGTGATGCTTTCTGTAATATTTACTTCGTTATTTGGTGATAGTAAACGGTCATCAATGCAATGTATCTGCTTTTTTCATTACAACCAATTACATTGTGAGATAAGTAGATTGTTGTTAGAAACTTTTGGGCCAAATATTTTGAAAAAGCACATTGGAAGACAATTTTGTATGAGGGATGTTTAAAAAAAAGAAAAATAAAGAAATGGAGTTAAATCATCTGGTGATTGGCCAACCAGGGCTGTTTTTGCAAGCAGCATCTTGTATGTGTGGTACTTGTTGTCATTAACCTAGCGACTAGATTGTTATTATTTTCTTTTTTATTTCACAACTCTCTTCCTCAAACATAACTTCATTAATTTCGGTGCACTCACACTCATTCATTCAATTTTTTTAAACAAATAGATTACTTATCACCGTATGATGGTTGTGTTAGGGTTGTGCCCTAAAGAAATATTATTGTAATATATTTTCTATAGAAATAAATATTTAAAGACAAGTTTAGCATGTTTCGATATTATCATTTGATATAATATTTTTGTTCCATGATTATTTATGCAACCATAATTCAGTATATAATTATATACAAGAGGATTGAATTATGGATAATAATCAAAACAAGTTCATAATTATTAATTATAGTTGGAATCTATAATTAAATATTATTAGTATGGCCTATCAACATTAAGAATGGAATAATTTTATCTGGATTATTCAATATGGAGATATTAAGGATGGAGGTATTTTATATAATATGATTATATAGAACTGGACCAGATAAATTTTGAATTATCTAATAAATTCTGTTTTAATTATAAATAATTTAAAATTAATCATAAAGATGATCATATATAAAACAATTTTAATCCTGAGTTATTAATAAACTCCTATTTGTGACTTTTAGTTTTTTTTATTTACTCGGAAATAGTTTGGAAGAAATAAACTCAATCCTTGTATTTCAAAAACACAATGAAACAAATGGTTGGGAATGTTAATATACAGATATGGAATCCATTTCCTTTCAATTTTGAAAGTTAGAAAATTAGTTCCCTTGAATAATTAATTCAGAACTTGAACAATTGAGCGCTCAAATTTTGTGACGAGGTCACAAAGTTTATTGTTCATTAGAGAATTAATTGGAATTCAAGGATCAAGATATAATTAGTGAGGTGACAGAATTACCTAGCTCTAATTATGAACTTTTTATGGAGGATTATTTTATATGTAATGATTAAATCAATGGACGATTCAATTTTTTAATTGAGTAAATTATACTATAATTTCAAGAGTGCAATTTCATATTTATAGTGGAATAATATTGAAATTAATAATTTTAATTTATTAATTTAAGAGTTAAATTAATAATCAAATTTATTGGAGCTTGAATTATAGGTCCATAGGTCCCTTCTTCATCACCTAAGCTCTATTATATATTGAAAACACTAAGAATGTGACATAATATAATGTTATTTATGATCACATTAGTAACATATTTATGATCACCTTTTAATTTTATATTTCATGAAGATAATGATGACTCATCATTAATATTTTCTTAATATTAAAAGATAAAGATAAGATTAATGATAAGTCATGATGTGTCATGATAATTATCATCAAATATCTTTTAATATTAAAAATATATAGATAAGATTAAAGATAAGATTGATGATGTGTCATGATAATTATCATTTTAATATTAATTAAAAATATTTCATGAAATACTAAGAGGTGCTTATGAAAAGATGTAAAATTTTCTTATAAATAAGAATTAAGTTCTACATGAAGATGATGATACATAATTCCTTCATGAGAGATGGAAGAATATGTATGAGAAGAATGTTGCTCTCATTGTTTTTTTTTTTTTTTAAGGATTAAATTGTGTTTAGAACACAAATTAGATTCAAAAGAAAAGGTGTTCATCAATAATTGATTGATTGTGCCCACTCACTAAAATATATTTTGTGGGTTGATTAGAAGAAGAAGGCTTACGGTCTCAATCAACGTTTCGAAGAAGAATATCTCAAATCTCAATCAATATTTCGGTAAAGTTTTCTTCATTTCATATTATAAAGTTATTTATTAAGAAAATTAATATTGAGAATGTTTTAATTTAATTTTCTAAAAATCCTAATTTTTATTTCCACCTTTTATATTATGATATAAAAATTCCAACAGGTTGTGATTGTGGTTGTTTGATATGGGTATTAATCCTAATTGTATAATTTGATTGCAACTTTCATTTTTATTTTTGTTATAGGCATGTTATTTATGTTCTTGTTTTGTTTCTCAATTATTCATCATTTAATTTGAATGAATAGTTAGAAAATAATAGTAATTATTAGGGTAAAATAACTCCTTGTTTGAGTGGCAAGCCCTTGGAGGTGTTTGCCACGATCAAGTCCTAGCTGGCAGCTGCACTAAATGAATCATATGATATAAATATCTTGGGTGAATCATGAAGGCAAACGCCCCATACAAGTTGTGATTCTCTTAGGATGAGTAGCAAGTCTTTTAAGCATGTGTTCCATAGCAGTGATTGTATCTTATCTCACCACATATGGAGCGGATTGTTAATCTCATTTTTGTATATGGTCTATTCCAAACTCAAAATTTTAAATCATAGGAAGCTCCTTTCATAAGGAAACCCTAAGCTTAGTATAAGCCCTAGATGAAGAATTTGGAAATTGATATGTCCACTTGCATATTGATCTATCACCTCCTTAAAACCTACATAGTGATCCTTGGAAGCCTCCATGCCTTTCCAATCCATAGATAATAAACCTTAAAGCATAAATTCTAAAGTCACTCATATTTACATATCTTGCCACTCAACATGGCATATTTGTTCAAACCTCCTTGTAAACCCTCCGATTTGATTTGAACTTGTTCATAATCTTAATTGGAATTATTTGAACCCATTGGGGTCTATGGTTGACCAAATTTGACATTTAAAACCCTTCAACCTTAAAGCTTAAACATATGTATGAAATATCATTTAATCATGGATCCAAACCTTATTATTGATCCCTAGGACTCCTACAATCGTCCTTGAGTGTGTTTAAACCCATTTGTACCTATGGTTGACCATGAATGGTCATGTTGTCCATATGGCCCATTTGACCTAAATTGTTAGATCTTGTATTCATGTTCTTCTAAACCAAAGCAATGCATGATAAACATCCTAAACAATAACTCAAACTTGTTTGGGCCCATATATCCTATAGTTGACCTTGTTTGACCAAAAATCACCATGTTGACTAAATCTTCCTTAAATGTATATTTCATGCATTTGGTCATGCTTTAGATCTTAACATGCCCTCCAATCAACTTTAAACATCTACATGAGCTTTCCTAGATCCATAAAACCCATTGATTGGGATAAGTCAACATTGGTTGACCAAATAGCTCATATGATGCTATCCTTTGCATTCAAGATTAACCCTTGGACCCTTGACTCCCAACACCTGCTCCTTGGTCAATAAGGTCCATATAAATGAACCCTTGTCTGCCCAACCCTTAGGCCCACTTGGATTAAGCAAATAGGCTAAATCAAGTGCACCCAAAGGGGTTCCCTTGAGCTAATTCACTACCTAGATTCAGTCAACCTAATCCATTGATCGTGTTCGTTGTCTATAAACTCCTACACTAGTCCAAGTAAGTTTAGCCTTTGGGTTAGCGTGCATTAGTAAATTAAGCTCACAAAAAAAAAAAAATCAAATGAACCATATTGCCTCTTAAACCAAATTGGGCTAAGCCTTTGCATGCATTATCTTATGTGAATCCTAGGTTCTAGCCCAACCTTTGGCTTTGTCTCAGGTGGCCAAAATTGGCACCAAACTAAGTTGTTTATATTCCTATCAACTCTAACTTCCTATCTAGCTTACCACATTCTTTCAATATTCTCCAAACACTTGCATGAACCCTATTGCACCATCCCATATCCGCCTAATTACTTGGTATGATGACTCTTAGCTAAAATTGAATCTACATTCTCTTCTAATAAGCTTATCAATACTAAAAACATTTCCATAACATGGTTCCTTATTTCCATTCCTTGAGAGTATTGAAGTCTTCCTGAGTGTTTCGCTAATTTTCCCTAGCCCTCTAACAACCTTCAAACCCAATCTAGAGTGAGCTTAGGTGACAACTCTTTGGTGATTTTCCATAATCTGATATAGCCCTCTTTAGCTCCTACTATCTAAAGGGAAATCACTGCCTACATCTAGTTGAGTATAATCCAATCAAAAGACCGTATTAGTAGCACATTGAATAGTGATAATTATCTAACTCAATCTTAATTTTTTTGAGGGGTGGAACAATAAGAAGGAAACATCCAATCCAAGGTGATCCATAGGTTGGATTGGATGATCCCTACATGTAGATCCTTCTAGATCCATTAGATGAAGATCTATTAGGTGAATTGAATGGATTATGCATAAAATGTTAAATGACTCCTATTGATGGCTAGAGGGTGAAATTAAAATTAGAACCATTCATTTTGTTCAAATTCGTGAGACGATCCTGATTTGTTTAGATCATTGTTGATCTAATATGTCTTGTGGTTTGGGCTTTATAATCCCATATGTTCAATCTTTGATCGGATGAATATTATTGATGTCGTTGTGTCAAGAGGGTCAGCCATCATTTAGGTATCCTGTTAAAATGTGCCATGTGTAAAAACAATGATATAGTCAACTCCTAACTATATAATCATTCTAATTAAATTCAAATCA